TCGAAAAGATGGGTGTGCCACGTCACTGGAGTAGTGCAGCTCCAGGGCAACACGTGTGGCGGACTCTGAGTTGCCTCAGAGCTACCCGCCACCCCCGTGAAAAATTCACATATATATCTCAGCACACAAGTGTGCTGTATCAGATATTAAGCTGATAAGAACAGATACTACACTTGATCTTAGCCAAAAGGCCGAGAAGGTATGCCCGGAATCAGGAGAAAGCAAAAGCAGGTTGTGGATGATCAAGCGCGGATGATGCATGCTGAAGACAGGAAACAAGAAAAAGGTGGCCCAGGGGGCATTGACCTGAACAGATCTTGATGCCGCAAACCCGCAAACCCGCACTCGGTGGCCCTGCGGGCCCCCTCGTGCATTTGATGGATTCTCAGCGCTTTGATGTGGGCCTTCTTGTCCAGGTTCGGCCTCTTGTGTGAAGAGGCCGACTCGAAAGAAAACAGGATTCAGCACACACAACGCAAACAGGAACTAGAAGAAGAAAAGAAATTCACAAGATGGTTCGGGTCGGAGTTGTGCTTGAAAAATCTGGTGTTCGAGAGTTCGTGTGCAAGCAGTCAAGGTATGTGAAGTTCCGAGTCAGCAAAAAGGTTCTGTCAGAGCTATGGGTGCATATTTTGTTGATATTTTGACCGATGCATCCAACGAAACCGTCACAGGAATTCGAAGCTCCTACGAACGACGTTCTTTCGGTCGCAACTTCGGGAGAACGTGCCCTCCCCATTTCGACATGCAACAGTTGCCTATCACGTTTTCGGTGTTCCTTCAGCAAAGTGGTCCTGAGAGGTCGTGAAGTCCAAGAAGCTGGCCATCAAAGGCCCCTGGGTGGTCTTGGGGTTGGGGGACAAAATCTGACTTGCCACCTCCTCGCGGTGTCCCCTGGAAACGTGTTTTTTGAAACGCGGCCAAGGCAAGCAGTTCCTTTGCTGTGGGTGAAAGCCCCTAACTTCGTATCTGGCCTCCGAGCTGCGCACCTACTCTTCCCAGGCGTAAAAAAGGTCGGCAAGAAAGCAGCAGCAGCAGCAAGGCAGCAGCAGAAGCAAGACAGCTGCGGGAAGACACGAGCAGCAAGGCAGCTGCGGCAAGGCAAGAGCGGCAAGGCAGCAGCAGCACGACAGCCGCGGCAAGGCAGCAGCAGCAAGGCAGCAGCAAGGCAGCAGCGGCACAGCAGCAAGGCGGCAGCATCGCAGCAAGGCGGCATCAGCAAGGCAGCAGCAGCAGCAAGACAGCAGCAGCAGCAAGGTAGCAGCAGCAGCAAGGCAGCCGCGGCAAGGCAGCACCAGCAAGGCAGCAGCAGAAGCAAGCCACCAGCAACAAGGCAGCGGCGGCAAGGCAGCAGGAGAAGCAAGACAGCAGCGGCAAGACACCGGCAGCAAGACAGCATCGGCAAGGCAACAGCGGCAAGGCGGCAGCAGTTCGATAGCAGCGGCAAGGCGGCATCAGCAAGGCAGCCGCGGTAAGGCAGCAGCAGCAGCAAGGCAGCCGCGGCAAGGCAGCAGCAGCAAGGCAGCAGGAGCAGCAAGGCAGCAGCAGAAGCAAGACTGCAGCGGCAAGGCAGCAGCAGCAGCAGGACAGCAGCAGCAAGGCAGCATCAGCAAGGCAGCAGCGGCAAGGCA